ATATATATATATAGATATATAAGAAGTGATTTCATGCAACGGTTGTGTAGTAACATTATGAAATCTTAAGAAATCACCGATCCAGGTTGGGAATCGCCCTGAGCAATTTTGTTCCTACAATATATCGGGAACTGCCTGTGTTCCCCTGGAATCGCTGATTCCAACGGGGAGCCCAATTATCCTTGAGCTTTTTCACATTTTTGCATCTTTTTTTATCCACCGTTTCAGATTTTTCAGATATTATTTGATGGAAACTATTCAAAATCGCCTATAAAAACAATGTATTGAATTGAATAACACATCTATAAGTTTTTACTTTTATTTGGTGTTAAAAACATATGGTTTTTTCATGTTTTTGAAAAAATCCTTCCTTTCTTCGGTTGCAGCTTCAATTTCGATTCAAATCATCTGTATTTTGGTTCAAATTGAAGATAGTTGAATCCTCCACAAAAATATCTCGCGGCATTGCCGTAATAAATGAGGACCATGTATAAATTTTGCATTGAAAGCCTATGGTTCTCAAAAGATTCACAGTAAATGAAAATCAAAGAGGACGGCACTGATTTGTGTTCATTTCGATCAAATTTTAATATGTATTTGGGGTAATTTAAGTTCCTTTATCTTTTTTTAGAGAAATCAGAAATTTGGTCTAGAACTCCAGTTGTTGAAGTCCATCTGGTTTAGTCGCCATAGTTAATTCAATATCAAGAACATTTTGTATTGGTTTATTTTTTTTTGATAATTTCGTCTTATTTGCTTTGAGTTGGACAAAGCACACATATTCTCATTGTCTTTAATTTTTTTTGTTTAGGGAGTGTTCCTAAAGCCTTGCCCCATTGTGTGCTAAACCTAGATTTTGGGCAAAGAACCCCTCCAAATCCTCAAATTCAAATATTTTACAAATATAGATTTTCTTTATATTTATATTCAAATTGGCACATATGATACAAATACTAGATTTGGCAACCACAATGTTGTAATTGGGAATCAAATGGTGTGTCATGATACACTGGTGATTATTCTTTGAGTTGTTTCTTGGTGATTATTCTCTCATATACATACCATCTGGCTTTCTTTAAAGATGCATCATATCATCATCGTCAAAACCTTTTTTCAATTAATTGGGGTCGATTACACGAATTCTAGTCTGTCATTCTGCTCTATTAAGGGTCATACCCTCAGTGAGGCCATAAGTCTCCATATCTTTTTTCACTACTTCCAACCATGTCCTTTTGGGCCTACCCTTGCCCGTTTTGAGCCTCCCCTTGAACTAACTCGCACCTCCCAGCCCACTTAAGTCTACTCTCTCTCATCTTATCGCTTATTGGTGCCACACCTAAAGTTTTCTAAGTGTATTCATTTCGAATTCTATCCCTTCTTGTCTTGCCACTCATCCATCTCAACATCCTCATCTACGCTAAACACGAATCTTCTTGCCAGCCGCAATTTTACGATTCCAATTCCTAAAACGTTTCGGAATCTCAGGTTTTTCCAACAGCTGTGGTATTTACCTGAATGCTCAGACTTGCAACAAGGCATCTTATGGTAAGTGCAACAAGATCGAAAGTCATTTTCTACCAAACATGCTCATATTGAGGGATGTAACACCAAGTTGAACCTTTCTTACACACATTCTGACTTGCGTAATATTTCTTCAACTAAACAAGCCAGCGTGATAGAAAACCAAAAACTTTGCAGGAAATTTAAAATCTATAACTTATATGCGATTGTGAAAACAAATAATTGTACATGAAACTCCAAATGATCCATAAAATTGGAGTATCCTGGCCACATAGATAAGATGCTTAAGGTTCCCATTCTATATGAGTGCATATTCGTCCAACCACAAGCTCAGTGATGGTAATAATGTCAAAGAGTCCTGTCTCGAACTCCTTTCAGATATCATGCAGTGAATTGGGCACATTATAGTTTCAGATTTGCAACCACATTTAATGCGTCAGATTTGTCTAATAGATCTGAAACCAAGATATTCAGAGAATAAGAACAGTTTATACTGAGAAGTACTCAAACTCTGAAAAACAGAATCCTCATCTCAAGACATCACAATAGTTTTCAACTACCTATCAATTTTCAAAGGAAACCTCTAGTTGAGACATACACAAATAGATACATAAATAAACACATACTTACATATACTTATATATCATCACACACGTATAAACACACATGCATACATAAATACACAGTACACAACACACACACTGACACCAGCACATATCCCATACGAACTCTATCACAGGGAACACTCACCTGTGACCAATGACAAAACGCATGATGATGCCTTTCTCTTCCTCTAGTCTCTTTCTTTTCTCGCCTGTAGATGCATATTTTGGCAAGAAAGTGTGAAATCACCATGGAATAAGCATCGAATATAAGGGAAAAAAATTGCTATAGAAAAGGAAAAGGAAGTTAACAGTAAATGGAGAACGAAACCTTGTGGCATCCAAGTTGCACGGACAGAATCTCTTCGTTTACGGCTACTAAAAGCAGTGTTAATTCCTACAACCATTAAATATTTGCGTTTACCGGTGGACACTGTGACCTTGGGGCTTCCTGACACAGGAGAGCCCTTCAAAATAGACTCCTGTGCAGCCCTTGCAGCAGCTAGTTCCATCTCAAGATTTGAAATTGTTTTATCCAGAGTTCTGTGATGAAAAGAATTAAGTAAGGCTGTATAAATTACCCCAAAAAAAAAAGTAAGCTTGTATTTGATGGCTAACTACAGGACAAGATTTCCATTTCAATGAACCAATTAGTTCAATTCAAAACTTTCAGAGATCCAAGTGGATAAACAAACATACTGTATAGCATGATGAGTCTTCGAGACTTCCCCCAGAATGTCTTTAGGTTCTTGCTTTACAACATTCTGAAACAAGAAAAAGGACAGTCCGAGAACAATTCTTAGTTTGTTAGAACAACAAACCATAAAGAGTTGACAGAATATGTGTTGGAGGTACAATAGCAGTTTGTGTTAATATCAATTTGCATCCACTATATTAAGAGCATTAAGTACAAACCAAAGAAACATAGTCACTTACACTTTTTGGGTCACATCCTTCTGAAAACAGGTTTAACTTTTCTTGTTCATTCTCATGGGACCTACTTACATCTTTGGCTTCAGGCATACTCCACATCCTGCTCATGAATAGAAACCAATTAACATGAGATCTGTTGTATATACATGAGCCACCTATTAATATATATTATAAGGATTAAGTATGCAGAGGGCTACATCATAATTGTTTTGAACAGTTCCTTTTGTTAAACATGCAACGTTCTGAAGACCAGAATAATAAAGATTATGACCTTTAAGATTAAGAAAGTCACTTCCTACTAATTGAAGATGTGTGAGATCGAAATCTTTGTTTGTTTTGCCTCAAGACAAGGAATGGTTCCTGAGGATTTGATAGCAATTTAACCCATAGTTGTTGGGAGTGGGAAAGGGTACAAGGGGGGAAGCTTGGAATCTACCCATGGCTGAAGACGAGAAGCCTGATTCAGGTGCAAGTAGGCGTGGCTAGCTGGTAGAAGAGGGGACTATGGGAGATGTGGTTGGTTAATGGAAGAGGCAGCTGTATCATCACCTACAAGAGTTGATGCATCTGATGAATGGTCAAGGGCAAGGGCATATCGGAGGGGCAGGAATAGGTCCTATTTTTAGTGGGGTCGTGATCGCCCTTCCATAGATTCAAGATCCCTTTTAGTCAGGGATCGAGATCTCTTCTAGTTAAGAGATCACCCTTTCAATCAAGGATCAAGATCCCATGATGACAGGGAGCAAGCTCCACTCGAGCTCTGATTCTGGGATCAAAGGAAAGAGCTTCCGAGGGGGGACCGACACCCCCCAACCAAGCTCCATGCATCTATGAATGCTCCTCCTAAAATCACTCTCTTCTTAACAAACTATGAACCGAATATAAACTAAATTGTGTAGGTCTCATTCAAAATGGGATATGAGACCTAGGGGAAAGCTATTCACAGGAAGGAACAGGGGAAGCTTCTTTCCATCATCCACAATAATCTACAAGTCATATTCTTATGTCAATAAGAAGAAAGAAAAAATGCCATCAGTTAAGTACAGACAAAATTAAATATTTTACACATATTTATGCTGCATATATCATACTAATTTCCTAACTGCAACTATCACTTTGTGGCCATATACGCAGTACGTTTGCTTTCCCCCTCCTGTAGCTTGCATTGGCATTCATATTTGATACATGAATTATACATATTTATGTGTGTATTTAAATTCACATATAATGTGTGAATGTCTTAAAGTCATGGTCATAACTGTGACTAATTCTTTGGACACTAAAGATAAGATCGCCGGCTTCAGCCTTTCCTTCAGAAATTACAGCAATACCAAGGTATTTGACCATGTTTGTGGAAGCAGTGGCGACTGATGGCACATCTCACACAAGTATAGGAGCACATCTCATGCAAGTATCGGAGCATCCGGCACCCTCTTTAGACACTAATGGTAACATTAGCAGAGGATTAAGACTATGCCGTAGACAATGCCACTTTGGGACCCTATAAATTAATTCACCTGTTTGACTTCTTAGAAAACCTAAAACAGTTCCTAGTCAGTCCTTCTAGGAAGCAGTCAGGGTGGGAACTGGAAAACACATCCATCCTAAGATAAAAAATATTTCGAAAAGTTCCAATTAAAGGCACCACCTCATATTTCATAAGACATATTTTAGCCCATTCACAAAACCTACCAAAGGTGGGGAAAATGGTTATTCTTCATTACATTCACAAGGTCCTCAAAGGAGATTACTAAAGCAATGTACTAGACCATGACCATCACACCTGGTGTTTACAGTTATACTGTTCAATATTGGAAAGAAGTCAAATTACAAATATATAGAGCAAATAAATACAAAAAAAACACGTAAAATGATGAGTTTGCACCTAATGCCTCTAACATGCTGACATATCCGCAAGAAAAAAAGATACAAAGGCAATAACAATATAGAAATATTTGAAAAAGCATGAAGTGTTCTTGCAAAATTTACTTAACGTATATTCAGTGTGAATGGTTCAGAGGTTCAACTTAGCGACACGTTCAAACAACTCTTAACTAGGAACAAATCCATCATTTGTAACAAGAGACTCAAACAATATAAAAACAACGAGCCTTCATTGAAATTGTTGAACATCACCAAAACTTTTATATGAAGTTCAATGTCAAAGAAGGGAAGTCCTGAATTCTAAAGCCCATGTTCCAGGAAAGAGGTTTTCCATTTTATAGAAACCCTGAGAGCAATACCATAGTTTTCAAATTTTTTGTCATATCTACCAGCAACCCTCCTCAAGCAAGGACTATTGACATCAACCAGAGCTCCCAAATAAAAACCATTTTGTCAAGGAATTGTCTACAAAGAGACCATTTATCTTTTGTACATAGAGGTCACAATTTCTCATTCATTAGATGTTAAATTGAAGGGGTGAGTCACAAAGTCTGAGATTTTTTTTTGGAACTTTATGTCTATTCAATAACACTCTTACAACCACCCATTTTGAAATTTAAGGGACAAGAATGATTGTGACCTCCATGTACAAAAAATAAATGGTCTCTTTGTATACAATCCCTTTCATCAATGGAAAATAATGAAATGTGCATAGCATATATCTTCTGGGACCAAATTTAAGCCACTGCTTCGATTCAAGAGACCCTATCCTTCTTCAGCACCCCTCGAATCTAAGATAATGGTGATTGTATCTATTCTGGCATGTAAGGTTGTTATCTAAGATCTGAGTTGCAAATATGATAATCCATAATAAACTAAACAGCTGTGAGATGGCTAAAAAGGCAGGCAACAACCATGTCTTACAATGTCCCACCAAGGCTAGAAACAAGAGAGAATTTTTGACGTAATCCCTTCGAACAAAAAATGAAGATTTTTCAATGGTAATGTTGATAATACAGATGAGAACAGGGCTCCTGTACGAAATCATTTGCTTCTAATGAATATATGATATCTCCATCAATTCTAAGAGAAAATCTCCCTGATCAAAAAATGAATTCCAAAGTTTGACGAATTGGGATACCAAATAAATTAATAAGCGGTCAATTGATATTAACAGGCTCAATTCCAAACAAATGAAAGCATAGCAATTTTATTTTTTCATCAGATATTGAAAGATGGTATATTGCTGGAAACCCATCTGAAGAGATTTCCAAGCCAAGGAGCAAGACAGACATATTCCAAGGTCCCCCATTGTGATCTACTCAAATGCATGTGGAAGGTTGACAATTGCCAGAAGCATAACAAAAGGAATTCAAGCAGGATCTAGGACACTATAAACATCACCAGTTTTCTTCAAGGAGAAAACATAATTATCTCATGCCACAGCCATCCCCGTTCTTCTCTTATCATTTTTGAACACATATTGCCAAATTAGAGGAGAGGCTAAGCTCACACAATAGAAACCCAATTCAGATCCATGCTTGTGATCTAGAATCCAGACCTTTTCGATTTTTTGTAAGCAGAACAGAATTTGGGAAACTATCAAAGAGAAATCAGACACTGAAAAAGAAAAACCACAGGAAAAACAGCCCAATTTAAGAGCTGAACTAAAATGGGCACAAAACATATCAATCTAAACCTGAAGATAGAAAGTAGTACCTGTTGGTGAAGAGTAAACCTGCACAGAAACTAGCAAGACACAAGAAAAAAGTCCATCTTCTAGAAACTGAGCTCCTGTGAGAAACATCCCCTCCTCTGCTCTTCCAAGACATTCTCTCTCTCTAACTCTCCTCCCTCCCTCCCTTTCTCTCTCATCAAAACCACCACCACAACCTCATTTACCAAATGAAAAATCCCTTCACACTCTTCTCATTTCCCACGGAAAGAAGGAAAGGTGAAAAAATAAGAGTAAAACCGCAGGGGAAGATGGAATTTCAATTCCTATAATTTAATATTCAGAAGAATAATAAAGGAGGGTGGGTTTTGGTGCTGCAGAAGAAGACCCATCAACTGTTCTCTCTCTCTATTAGGTCTTTATTGTAGTCTTCTTATTCTCTCTCATGGTTGTCTTCTTTCCTCTCTATCTCCATTCGTTGCTTTTCCTTTTCCTGCTTTTCTTCAGATTAATTTTTTAGTTAATGTTTTGGGTAAGTAATATAATTTTCAGATCCCAAGACCAAATCAAAATCTACCGATCCATGTAACGACGGCTCCTAAATCTCAAAAATTACCCGGCATTTTTCTTGTCCTCTTCCTGACAAGGTACAAGTTTCATACGCGTGGAATTTCATGTGGACATTTACCTGAAACGCTGCATTTATTTGTAGACATATGCGCGTGTTGATATCGTATCCGCATTGCACCAATGTGTTGTTAGATTCGTTTATTGGGTTTGGTCTCAAACAATTTTGGTTAGTTGGGAAGTAGGTTTCGGAGTTTTTAAATTTTAAAATAGTTATTTTTATAATTTTAAAAAATTAAAAATAAAAATAAAATTTTTAATAATAAATAAATTTCTTATAATTAAAAAAAAATCAAAATATAATATTGACTAACTTTGAAATTAGTGGACTGAATGTCGGTTAGCCTTATGAGAAAACCTCAACGAAACATTTAAATCAGTTTCATCTAAATTCCAACTCATACCCTTCCAAACTTCAGTATGATTCTTACAACAAATAGTTGAAGACTAGTATCATCTTTAAAATTATGGGAAAATTATAAAAAAACCCCAAGATTATATTTTTGATGCAACTTACTCCTAACCTAATTTTTTTTCTCACTTTTTTCCCAAAAATACACCCTCCAACCAAATAAAAAATACCTAAACTACCCTCCCTTATTTTTACCTTGCCCATGCCTCTCTCTCCTCTGCGTAAGTGTGCGCGGGCACTATATAAATGAGCTCCTGTAATGCAACACTTTGGAGTCACAGCGCTCCAGCACTGTCTATTTGCACTCTGGCAATGAATCATGTGCTTCGACACTGTGTAAGTGCGCTCCGACAGTGGATTCTAGAGTCACAGTGCTTTGGCACTGTGTATGTGCGCTTTGGCAATAGATGTGCACTCCAGAACAGCGTAAGTGCACTCCGGCAGTACAACACTCTAGAGTGACAATGCTTCGGCACTGTCTATGTACGCTCTGGCAGTGGATCATGAGCTCTAACACTGTGTAAGAGCACTCCAACAGTGGAATTTGGAGTCACAGCACTCTGGCACTGTGTATGTGCACTTCGGCAGTAGACGATGCGCTCTGACACTGTGTAAGTGCACTCCAGCAGTGCAACACTCTGGAATTACAACTCTCCGGCATTGTCTATATGCGCTCCGACACTGTGTAACTGCGCTCCGGCAGTGTAATCTGGAATCACAATGCTCCCGCACTGTGTATGTGCGCTCCGACAGTGGATCATTCGCTCCGCCATTGCAGTGGTTCGCTCCGACAATGAGCCCTGAAAGTGAACATCAAATCTAGCCAAATTGATTTCTGTGTACGAGAAGGGCATTTCTATCTAAAGAAAATGAACATTTTCCCTAGGGGGTACTTTCATAGAAAGTGTATTTATTGGAAAAAAGTGAGAGAAAAACTTAAGTTGGGGGTAAGTTGAATAGAAAGTATGGTCTTCGGGTTTTTTGTAATTTTTCCTAAAATTCTACAATATTTACAACGTCTAATCCACCAAAGCTTTCACCTTTTTAGTTGACACTTGTCAACATTATGTATTTTTCTACCAAAACACACAAAATTTTAGTGTCCTGGAATTTAATTGTGAAACATTCTTCTCTTCATTTCGGTTGAGTGCATAAAACCGAAGGCTTCGCCTGCTTAGGGCGAAGCGAACCAAATTTAATAACATTGCTTAGCACCCTTTTAATTGTTCATATTGAGCTAGCTTCGATGCTAAAATAAACTTTATTTTCTATGTTTTGATTTTTTATTTAAAGATAATACTAATATAATATTTTGGTTTGAACGTTGTTTTTATAAATAGAATAAAAAGTATTTCAAATATATATTGTTTATCAAAATAAATATAGGGGTATTTTGGTTAGTTTTGTATTTAATATATTTTTGGATCATTTTTATTTTATTCCTTTCAGAAAAAAACTTTACACCTAAAGTTCAGCTAAATATTTTCCTAAATAAAAATAAAAAATAAAAAATAAAGTATGAAATGAATTTTTGGCCATTGGATGTGGCCATGTGACATCTTGATTATTGGAAGGGTCCATGTGCACCCTTCCATGTGGACGGGATACTTTTCCTTAACAAATAGGGTTTTATAACTTGGAATGAGGACTCGAATGCCAAAGCAATTCGGATATACTCGGACCAGTTTGGGCCAATCTGGCTCAAAGGTCCTAAAAGAACAAAAGAAGTATCAATAGATTATGAAAATCAAATCACTATAGACATAATAATATGATCAGATAACCTATAGCAATGTCTAGCAAGAAGCCTTGTCAAAATCATGAACAAAGCCTCAAAATCAATGGATTTGCTTTTGTTTTCAAGAAACCTCAAGCTCTTTTTCTTATAATTTCGTGAATAAAGGGTTTTACTTCAAAAGTTATATTATAAATACTGTACAATACTCAAAAATGAAGAAATCAGTCCAAATTTTAGAAAAAGTGGATGAGAAAAACTAAGAGGCCAAAAAGGGTGAACCAATCAACCCCCTCTCAAAACCAACCAACCCCCTCTCAAAGCCAACCCACCGACCATAAGCAGCCCTCTCAGAATTAGTGCTGCGGACTAAATTAAGGCTTTGGTCATAATACCCCATGACATATCCAGTCAAGTGATGCACTATTATAGCCTCCTCTGGTATCACAGCGAAAGAGAGACTTAGAATTCATAGAATCTTATTGCTGAACTGAAAATCATTTTTTTATTTCTTAGAATTGTTCATCCAATTTCCATAAGGATTAGGCCTTCAGGAAAATGCCTAATTTGATCAAATCAGTAATAAAAGTTGAGAGGATTTATCCCTGGCTATCAACCCTCTCAACTTTTATTGGCATGTTCCCCTTGTATATTTCTATCAATTGGAGTGTCCTTAGTACTTTTGCTTTTGCTTTTGCTTTTACTGATGTTGATATTGCTGGTACACTCAGCTGCAAAATTGCGTTGGTTCTGCAACTGCCGCAATGGGACCTTAGAATTTCTTGAGTCTTTTGCCTCTTAATTTAGATGTTGAGGATTTATCCCTGGCTAATGTTTGGTTGATTCCAATTCTAAAACAACATATAGTTGGTGTCCGCTTAAGTTTTTTTACATCCCATATTTTGGGTTTGGTCACATCCTTGAAGCAGAGGGCTCAAGTGGTAGGCAGTTTTCGTAATGGAGTTAACCAAATTCATTTGATTTGATTTCATTTTATGACATTTGGTACCATCATATATTTCACCTTTTGCAGCTTGAGAATGAAGGTCGCATTGTTGCATCAAGGACTGCAGAAGCACTTGTGTATCGTTTATGGTCCTTGTTGCCTGCCTTTTGCAACTATCTTGTCAACACTGCTAATAGCTTTAAGGGTGTAGCAAAGTCCCTGAATCATGCACTTTATAAAGAGCTTGACCCGCATGGAATAATATGCTCAGGTCCGCAGGTTTGCATGACGCCTCTTAGTATGTCTTGCTGTTGATTTAATTTATGGTGACACCTTTTGTTGATCACATAAATTTATGTTTATTTTTGTCAATTTGTGGTGTTCAGATCATCGTCGAAAGACAACTGCATGATAATTTAAATGCTTTCTGCAAGAGTTGTAAAATTGAAAACCTTACCACTAACTTTATGCATTTGTTGAGCTCAAGGCCAGGCTAATTTCACTGTTGTGGCATAAAGTTTTCTAAGTGATGTTCCAAGTTTCCCTTTTCTCTGTATAATTGATGCGTCATGGCCGTTCAAAATAGAGATTATTGCTATTAGCTCCATTTCTATGTTAATGACTGCCTAGTATTTGATTTTAGTTCTAGGTTGTGCAGTTGCTTTTGCTTTTTGTTCATGAGTAAACAACATATATTGATCGAAAGATAAGAAGTTACCTATGGGAAAGAGTGAATTGTTTGTTGAGATTTGTATGATATTAGTTTACTTGGTTTCCCTCTTTTCTTTCATTCTCTCTACATGTCGTCCCATGGTGTTTCTGGGATAATCATACTCGATTCAACTTGTAATTTAAGTTAGGTAAAAATGCCACTATATTTGCAATGGACATCACTTTCGGTATTTTCTGTACATGTTATGATAGTTGTTACTCCTGTACATAGTTAGATCATTTTTTGTCTTGATTTTATTTCTGCACTCAAAATAGGTGGAGGCGCCAATGGTGATGAAGTCGATACATGGGCTGAAATTTGTGATGAAAATCGTAAGCCTATAGGTGGAGGCGCCAAAATCCATGTGAAATTGCAATATTTCGATATTATAAAAGATCGAAACTGGTCAAGAGGAATAAGAAGCCCTAAATTCTCTAGTGTACCCTACACATTCTTTTATAGAGGCAGGACCTACAAATCTCTACGGCGTTCACCCACCATTAAAAGATAGTGCTTGTTGATGCCGTGTTGCCTAACATGAGTTGGTCGGTTCTCTTCCAAACCAATCCATCAAGTAAGTCTCTTATGGAATTTTGTCAATATTAGAGCAAGGTTTTGTAAGGGGTTTCTAGGAAGCATGTGTTGAAAAGGAAAGAGGGCACAGGTACACAAGCTTCTCTCTTGGAGGATTCTAAGAAGCACGTGTTGAAAATCTACATTTGCAGCATTTGAGAGAAATGACTAGACAATTTGCCCTTTATTTTATTGTATTTCATCCAAATTAGCGGCAATCAGCCTAATTATGTTTCAGTACTTCATTGTAAAGAAGTTTCTTATCAAAATATTTTTATTTGGATTATTTTGTTCTTTACAACTTGAATTTCATTCATACAATTGTCTGGTCCCTACATGTGATAATCCAAGTTTCAATTTCACATGGCTTCTATAATGAACCACTCTCTCTCTCTCTCTCTCTCTCTCTCTCTCTCTCTCTCTCTCTCTCTCTCTCTCTCTCTCTCTCTCTCTCTCTCTCTCTCTCTCTCTCTCTCTGTCGTACTTAGTCGTCGTTAGTACTTAATTAACTTAGTACTATACTAGTAGTAGTAGTAGTTATACTTATAGTA